GCGGGGCTCGAACCCACGAACCGCGAGATCATGACCTAAGCGAAAGTCGGACGCTTAACCGACTAAGCCACCCAGGCGCCCCCTCATTGTTATATTTGAAAATGCTGAAGGATTTTATGCTTTGCAGAAGAGAGGGCCCGCTCTGTCTAGCATCCCCATGGCTGGAATGCCATCTTCATTGCTGTGTTAGTGTGACTTTGTGATCCAACCATGTCAAAGTACAAAGAAAGTTAGAATGTCCTTCCTCAGGTATCTGGGTGGCTCAGTCGGTTGAGTGTCTGACTCTTGATCTGAGCTCAAGTCATGATCCCAGGGTCACGGGATCGAGCCACACATCAGGCTCCGTGATGAGTGTGGAGCCTGCTTAAGATTCTCTCCCTCTCCTTCCTCCGCCCCCAGCTCTCATTCTCCCTCATAAATAAATAGATCAATAGCTCAATGATTGATTGATAGATCGATAGATAGATAAGGTAAAAAATAAAATGTCCTTCCTGGGGAGCTTGCAATAGAGATAAGCTCTAGGGGTTTGTTTTAGTCAAAACAAATGTAAGGCCTATGGCCTTAACCCCACACCATACCTCTTCACGTCTCCTTGGTTCTTCTCTTTAACCCTGATCTCAGTCACTCACCAATGAAAGAGGCTTCTCGGGACTCCTCGCCATGAGTACTCAACCCACCATTTCTGGATCCATCATTTCTTCCACCCACAGTCCACTGCATAGGAACGCGGGTCACTTGAGTCTTCCCTGTCGCTTTCTGGGCACGTTTCCCTTTGTGTATCTCAGTCTTTCAGAACTTAATGTCATTGGGATTGAGTCACTGATTCACTGAGAGGCAATGAAGGGGGTATCTGCCCAAGACCGAACGAGGGAAGGGGCACATGGAGGGTTTTGGTGAATTTAAAAAACATTCACTGGGCAAGGGCACCTGGGCGACTCAGTCGGTTAAGCATCCAACTCTTGGCTTCAGCTCAGGTCATGATCTCAAAGATGGTGAGATCGAGCCCCCCCACCCCCCCATCGGGCTCTACGTTGGCAGCATGAAGCCTGCTCGGGATTCTCTCTCTCTCTCTGCCCCTCCTCTGCTCACGCTGTCTCTGTGTCTCTCAAAATAAATAAATAAACTTTTAATAAGTAAATAAATAACATCCATTGGGCCAAGGTGCCTTGCCAGGCACTGTTGCTGAACTTCAGGGTGTGAGGGGACCATCACGTCACAAGGTCCTCCCTTGGCCACCCTTTCTCAAATAGCTTCTTCACAGACATTCCCACCCGCCACCCTGTTTCCAAGGTTTAACAGCACAAGCATGACCTATAATTATCTTATTAATTTATTTGTATCCACTTACACTCTTGGTAAGAATTCCAGCTTCCCCACGTCCTGACCAGCAGGAAAGGTTTTCGGACTCCCCGGTTTGTGCCAATCTGATGAGTGAGTGGAATAGATTCGGGTTTAGATTTGTATTTCCCTGACCATCAGTGAGATTGAACATTTTTAAAGTTTTACAGGACATTTGGGTTTTCTTTTCTGTGAATTCCTATTCATGTCTTTCATGTATTTTTTCCTACTTTCTCTTGTTCTTTTGCTTGCCTTTTTTCTTGTCAATTTCTAGAATTTATAGACTGTATTCCCAAGCATTGCACACACCTGATCCTAATCTATAGATGGTCTTTTCACTTAGAGTAGCTCATGTTTTGCCCTAAGAAACTTTTCTTTGATGCAGTTAAATGCATCAACATTTTCTTTCATGGTTTTGTTATTCTATCTTGATTAAGAGTCCTTCCCTTCCCTCATGTCATGATGATATTTCCTGTTTTCTTCTAGAAGGTTTCAGAACTGCATCTTCACACTTACTTTTTTTTTTTTTGTAACTTTTTGATGTTTATTTATTTTTGAGAGAGACAGAGTGTGTGTGGGGGGAGGTGAGGAGAGAGAGAGGGAGACAGAATCCAAAGCAGGCTCCAGGCTCTGAGCTATCAGCATTGGGCCCAATGCGGGGCTTGAAGTCACGAATGGTGAGATCGTGACCTGAGCCGAAGTCAGATGCTTAACCCACGGAGCCACCCAGGCCCCCCAACATTTACTTCTTTAATCCATCTGAAATTTATTTTGTGAATGATCAATAAGAAGGATTTAACTTAATTTCTTGTGATAGCCAGTTTCCGAGACCCACTTGTTGACTGATCCATTTCTTCCCCACCAGGGTGTCGGCCCAGCCCTGCCACAGGACAGTGGTCTTCTCTGAGCCCCTTCTAGTGCTTCGGTCTGATACCACACTGTTTTGCTTGTTGCCACTTTAGAGGAACTGTTAAAATCTTTTACAGTATATCCTCTTTCTCTTATTTTGCAAAACTGTCTTGACTTTCCCTGATTTTTTACAAAAAAACAAACTCCAAAGTCTAAAATCCAGATTCCAAAATCTGAAATCCACAGAGAGCCTATGGGTTTTTAAATCATCCTTGCCAGGTTTATTGGCCAATCTGTTATTTTTTTTTGTTAGCTTCCACTGAGTTTCAAAATTAACTTGAGAAAATTGAACTTTATGTAAAACTACCTTATGGTGGTTTTAGTAAACTGCTATAAATTTATCCAAAAAATTGAATACTGTTAGATTAGATTTGTTCTTCATTATTTTTTGGTGCTCTTATAAATCTTTATGTTAGCTATATGTTCAGTTCTTATTTCCTTGTGTATAGAAGCTTCATTGTTTTTTTTAATGTTTATTTTTTTTTAAGAGAGAGAGAGAGAGACAGAGCATGAACAGGGGAGGGACAGAGAGAGAGAGGGGACACAGGATCCGAAGCAGGCTCCAGGCTTTGAGCTGTCAGCACAGAGCCCTACGTGGGACTTGAACTCACAAACCATGAGATCATGACCTGAGCCAAAGTCGGACAGTCACTTAACTTACTGAGCCACCCAGGCACCCTGGAGAATCCGTGACAAAAAGGTTTCACTTGAATCTAATTAAGTCGGCAAACTCAACTTCCAGTTTACAGGAAATAGAGGGAATGAATTATTTAAAAAAATTTTTTTTAACATTTATTTATTTTTGAGAGAAACAGCGTGAGCAGGGGAGGGGCAGTGAGAGAGGGAGACACAGAATCTGAAGCAGGCTCCAGACTCTGAGCTGTCAGCACAGAGCCGGATGGGGCTTGAACTCATGAATGGTGAGATCATGACCTGAGCCAAAGTTAGACACTTAACCTGCTGAGCCGCCCAAGAACCCCAAGGGAATAAATTACAGAGACCACCAGGGAACAAGACAAACACAGCGCAGCACATTGTGAGTGTCTCTGGCCAGGTGTGGGGGACATGGGGTGGGAGACCGTTCTAGATGAGCGACTCAGGACACATAACCAACAAATGCAATGCATGAATTCTGATTTGATGTGGATGATGTGTATGTGTAGGGGAGGTGAGGGTCAGATACGTTTTTGATGTACTTTTTAGAGTCTTGACAGAGACCTGAATACAGCTTTCTAAAGGAGGCTCCCCAGGCGTGGGGATAAGGACAGTGTGCGGCCACCCATTTGCAAATTAGCTGCTAATAAGACACTTGAAAATTTACAAAATCATAGGAAATAAAATCAGGGGGTGAATGACATAGGATAGGAGAACTTACCTTTTATTTTCGACCTTTGTGTGCCCTTGGATTTGATGTATTTGGATCATAGGTATATCTCCCTTTTGTACCTGAAAAACAATTATTTCATTAAAACTAAGACCGGGGCACCTGGGGGGCTCAGTGGTTAAGTGTCTGGTTCTGGGTTTCGGCTCAGGTCATGATCTCGTGGTTCATGGGTTCGAGCCCTGCGTCAGGCTCTGTGCTGACTGCTCAGAGCCTGGAGCCTGTTTCAGATTCTGTGTCTCCCTCTCTCTCTGACCCTCCCCTGCTCACACTGTTTCTCTCTCTCAGAAATAAATAAAACATTTTTAAAAATTAAAAATAAATAAATAAAATAAAGCTAAGACTAAAGAGACCGACCACAAGGGCATAAGAGCCCATCAGAAATGGCCTCAGCACATGTCCTGGGGATATGCAGACTCAGGCTTGCTCCCACCTTCGGTGGAGGGAGAGGTGTGGCGGGAAGATGCTCCTTTGTGCTTCTGGGTCTCCCCCTTAGATCCCAGCTTCCCTGAGCACAGAGAAGGTCTCTTCTTCCTTATTTTCATAAGGACTCACTTCGTATCAGACCCTGTGCTTAAAGGGACCCAGGGTTGGGGCGCCTGGAGGGCTCAGTCGGTGAAGCGTCCGACTTCGGCTCAGGTCATGATCTCACGGTTCGTGGATTCGAGCCCAGCGTCGGGCTCTGTGCTGACAGCTCAGAGCCTGGAGCCTGCTTCGGATTCTGTGTCTCCCTCTCTCTCTGCCCCTCCCCCACTCGTGCTCTGTCTCAAAAGTAAATTAAACAAAAAAAAAAAAACAAAGCAAAACAAAACAAACAAAAAGAAAGGGACCCGGGCTTGGCCTGTCGAGGTACAATTGGAGAGTACTGGGTAACTGTCGGCACAGACTGCGTCCTCAGTGCAGGTAAATGGGCTACTTGCCAGCTGCAGGGCTCCGATCCAGCTCTTTCCTGGCTGACCCCGCCCACTGCTGGTCCCGTCACCCACAGGGAAGCACCTCCTGCCCAGGACAGCATCTGCTTTCCCCAAATCTTTGAGATTAAAAAAAAAAAAAAGATAAAACATTAACCTATACACAACTTAAGAGAAAGTCTTTAGCTTTGAGGCAGCTTTTAGGAGAAAAATGATTATTAATGAGTGAGGGGCCGAGGCTGCCTCTTGGAATGGAGTTTCCAGCGGCACCTTGGCCTCAGGCACTGAGTCTGTCAAATGGGTGGGGGGGGGGGGGGGTTTGAAGACAGCAGGGTCACCGAGTTGGTGAGAGCAGTAAGAGTGACACTTGCTACGTGGGAGGCGGGCACGGCCCTGGCGGGTGCTTGTCCATCNAAACATTAACCTATACACAACTTAAGAGAAAGTCTTTAGCTTTGAGGCAGCTTTTAGGAGAAAAATGATTATTAATGAGTGAGGGGCCGAGGCTGGAGAATAGAACTGATGTTCTCACCGAACCATTGCGAGCGGGGGGGGGGGGGGGGGGGGGGGGGGGGGGGGGGGGAGTTTGAAGACAGCAGGGTCACCGAGTTGGTGAGAGCAGTAAGAGTGACACTTGCTACGTGGGAGGCGGGCACGGCCCTGGCGGGTGCTTGTCCATCACCGTCGCTCCTGCTGAGGCTGGAGGCGACGAGAAAACTCTCCTGTCTTCTGAGGGTCTCCGGCTGAGCCTGAGCATTACACTGACATCAGGCAGATGATCAGGAGACAAACTCAAGAATTCCAGTACATTGTTCCGTGTGCCTGGGGTCTTCATGAGGGCATGAAGCCCCCGCAGAGGGACCAGAGCAGGCAGCCTTTATGCCTTTGCAATAAACGGTGGAGTCAGGGACAGATAACGAGACAGAGGTTGGAGCCAGTCACCTGCGGGAAGCGGCGGGGACAGGCTGGGCGGCGGGGCGGCAGAAGACACGCTCATGTCAGCAGGCCTGTTTGAACAAATCCATCTCCGCGCTGATTCCTAGGCTCTGGAATGTTCTCCTCTTCCTAGCACAGGGAGGGCACCTTCCTTATGGGACATTTATGGGCTGTTCTTAGGCAGAAAGGAGGAGGTCAGGGAGCCCGGCTGCCTGTGCTGATTCTCCAATGCCGTCAGCTCAAAATAAGGGCCGCGCCGAAGCAGCGGGTTTTGGGGCTGCGCGTTCCGAAGGCTGTCAAGGCCACACGTGCGAGCACAGACGCTGGTAGGGAAAGTCGTTGCCACGAAAAAAGTTTTCAACAACTTCTCACGTCCCCCCAGGACGGCGAGGACGGGAGACTCTGGGCCCCTCGGGCGCTGCTGGTGGGAATGCGCAACGGGGGCAGCCGGACAAGTTTTGAGCCTCCTCAAAAAGCCAAGCGTGGGACCAACACAGGACGCAGCAGTTCCACTTTTAGGTACAAAAAAAGAGGCATTCTGGGGCATGAGGGGGGCTCAGTCGGTGGAGCGTCTGACTTCGGCTCAGGCCATGATCTCGCAGTTCGTGGGTTCGAGCCCCATGTCGGGCTCGGTGCTGACAGCTCGGAGCCTGGAGCCTGATTCAGATTCTGTGTCTCCCTCTCTTTCTCTCTGCCCCGCCCCTGCTCATGCTCTGTCTCCCTCTCTCAAAAGAAATGAACATTTAAATAAATAAATAAATACATAAAAACAGGCATTCAAACAAAAACGTGTGCAAAAAAGTTCATAGCAGCACTACGCACAATAGGCAAAGGTGGAAACGACCCAAACGACCATCAGCAGAGGGGTAAACAAAATGTGGTGCATCCATCCAATGAAACGAAGTATGAAGACCAGCTACAGTATGGAGGGACCACAGCAACCTCACAGTGAGCCCCAGAGGCCAGCCACAAAAGAGCACTTCTGCTATCATCCCATTTATAGGAAATATCCAGAACAGGCCAATCCACAGGGTGACTGCTCAGTGGGGCCAGCATTCCATTTCAGGATGATGGAATGTTCTGGAACTAGACAGAGGTGGCGGTTGCACCACATTGTGAATGTATTACACGCCACAGAATCATGGTGGGTTAACATGGTGGATTTTATGTTATAGATGCTATTTATGTTATGTGCATTTTACCTCAACATAAAGAAATGTTATCAATACAATAGCATTTATATCAATTTTATTTTTTGAAGTTTATTTATTTATTTTGAGAGAGAGAGACAGAGGAAGAGACAGAGAGGGAGAGGGAGAGAGAGAGAACTCCAAGCAGGCTCCATACTGCCAGACTCGAGGATCAAACCCACAAACCATGAAATCATGACCTGAGCTGAGACCAAGAGCCGTCCCTTTAATCAAATGAGTCACCCAGGTACCCCTATGAGTAATTTAATTTCAAAAAAATTTTTAGCGTTTATTCATTGTTTTGAGAGACAGAAACAGAGGGTGAGTGGGGGAGGAGCAGAGAGAGAGGGAGACACAGAATCTGAAGGAGCTCCAGGCTCTGAGCTGTCAGCACAGAGCCCGACGTGGGGCTTGAACCCACAAATTGTGACTTCATGACCTGAGTTGAGCCACCCAGGCGCCCCACCCCTATAGCAATTTAAAAATGTGCAGAAGGGGCGCCTGGGTGGCTCAGTCAGTTAAGCGTCCGACTTCGGCTCAGGTCATGATCTCATGGTTCGTGGGTTCGAGCCCCACATCAGGCTCTGTGCAGACAGCTCAGAGCCTGGAGCCTGCTTCGGATTCTGTGTCTCCCTCTCTCTCTGACCCTCCCCTGCTCATGCTGTCTGTCCCTCTCAGAAATAAATAAAAACATTAAAAAAAAAACGTGCAGAAGAAGCATCAGTATCCCTGCAGGAAACACAAGAATAAAGACATGAAGGGGAAGAAAACTCCCAATTCGGACAGTTTGCAGCGGGAAGGCTGGGCTAGTGGGGTCAGGTGTGAAGCTCGCGGGGTTTCCGTGGTGGCCTCTGTCGTGAGCTGCGAGCTGAGCGCGGCACGTCACGCTACGCGCCGCTCTCTCTTCTTGCTTCACGCCTGAAATATTCCACATGTGAAATCCTTCTGGAGTGAAGTGGGTCAGCCTTTTCCTTCCTCATCCTGGTGCCTGTGATCATCTCTTTTCTTCCTACCGTTTTAGGGAGATTTTACGTCACGCATTTACAAATCTGCCAAATCTACCCTTTCTTTGGGACTAATGAAAAAGTGTCTTTTCTCTTTTTTTTATGTCTTTCAATATTACTATTTCAAGTAGCCAATTCTCCACTGGTGTGAAAGGACACTTTTACCATTTACCAAACCCCCCATGGCGTTGTCTGCTTCTCCCTTTTTACTAGTAACCACATTATATTCCTTCTGATCAAACATTGGAATAACCAGTATTATTACCAAAAGGACATATGTTTGTAGTAAACATAGTTGAAAGAACACAGCAAGGGGGCAGTTTCCTGCGGCCTGAGTGAGCCCGTCTCCTGGGGCCCTGGGTTCGGGTTTAGGGGACGATTAGGTGGTTCTGACTCCTTCACTGGAGAAGAGGGCCTTTCGGAAAGCTGTGTCCCCCAGTCTGAAGGCCACATCCCTTCCTCCCTTCACCCAGTCCACTGGGACTCCGGCACACAGTCAGGGGACTTGGTTTGGGTCAGAGCAGCGAAAGGCTGCGCCGACCCGGGGGATTGGCCCCCATGCTGCCCAGAGCTGATCAAGAGCACAGGGATTCAAATCCCATCTCAGCCCTTCAGGCCTCAGTTTCCCCACATCTAGAAAGGAAATGACGTTCTCAAGCTCTTGGGGTTTGGGGGAGGGAGGCGTGAAAAGCAATGTCATGCAAAGCCCTTGGGGAGCATCCAAAGGGGAAGAAACCGTGACCTTAAAGAGGGACTCACTTTGTGGGGGAGCTCAGAGCCCACCTTTCTGGGGCCCTGGCCCTGCAGACTAACCCTCAGGGTGGTCTGAGACACATCTGTCACCTTCTCAACCCGGCCCTCCCCAGCCACTCGGGGCCACGAGGTCTCTCACCCCGTGATTCCCTATCTCCTCTCTTGTGCATGCAATCATTCCACAAATATTTATGGAGCATGTAGTACGTGCCCAGTGCTGTTCCAGGCATTGGGGACTCAGCAGTGAACAGAACAGACTAAAACTCCCGTCCTGTGGAGCCCCCATTGCACTGACAGAACCTAGTAAGTAAAGAGTCAGCTACACAGTGTCAGAACCTGCGGAGAACCCAGGAGAAGAACAGGCAGGGAGAGCAGCGGGGACAGCCCTGGGCTGGCATTTCAACAGGAGGGTTTCCAGGGTCTCCCAGGGGGCATTGAGTTATTACAATTTTCAGTATTTCCTTTATTTGTCACTGTTGTTATTTATCGCGTGTTGGTCGGTGTCAACGCCCACCCCCCCACTGGCGTCCAGGACAGCGTCAGAGCCCCCGGGGCTGGGGCTCTGTTCAGTGGCCCTGGGATTGGGATTACCGCAGTCCCTAGACCGTCAGGCACTCAGTGCTTATTCCTACAAGGGCAAGGGAAAGGCCACCCTTCTAGCAATGGTCAGATCTTGAAAAACAATTAGGTTAAAGTGGAAAAATTCAGAACTGGCTGATAGCCCTTCGGGAGAATTTCATTCAAATGCCCTCCAGGGTTTTGCCCACTGCCTGCAGCTTCCCAGTTTTAGTTTCGCCTTAAGGAAAAGCTGGGAAATACAAGTGGACCAAGGAAGAGGAATGCTAGGTGCCCAGATTACAGCAAAGGTGGCAATTTAACTACAAACGCATGCGATGCAGGTTCACGGTGTTAGTTACAGCCTGTGTGAATATCTTCATCCCCCAAGCGACGGGGATGCCTGATGTCAGGATGATGATGTCACGGGCATAGGTACATTTTTCTAGGGGGAAGGGTCAGTGTCAGCGCACTCATACGATTTATCAGGGTGTTTTGGAGAGTGGGGTGAAGCTAATACTTGCCCTTGTTCATGAGACGCCAACCAGGGGACTCCTGGGAAACTTGTCCAGTGGGAGTGGGGGTGGGAGGGAAGATTTTGGCCCCAGAGGACATTCGGCGAGGTCTGGAGACATTTGTGGTTGTCACAGCGTGCGGGGGTGGGGGTGTTATGGACAATTAGTGGGGAGAGTCCAGCGACACTGCCAAACATTCTACGCGCAGCCCCGCATGTCAGCCGTGCCCAGGCTCGGAAACCCTGACCTGGTCTGACCTCTCGCCTGGTTCAGAATGGGATTGGAGTTCACTTCTCAGGCTTTTTTGGGAAGGGTCTGGCTGAAATTTTATTTATTTATTTATTTTTAACGTTTATTTATTTTTGAGAGACAGAGAGAGACGGAGCACAAGCAGAGGAGGAGCAGAGAGAGAGGGAGACACAGAATCCGAAGCAGGCTCCAGGCTCTGAGCTGTCAGCAGAGCACGATGCGGGGCTCGAACTCCCAAACTGTGAGATCATGACCTGAGCCGAAGTCGGATGCTTAACTGACTGAGCCCCCCAGGCGCCTCTGGGTAAAATTTTAATCGTAACTTTAATTTCCTTCTGCTGCTGCCTAGCCCTGGAAAAACAACAAGAAACAAGAAACAACAAACTAACCAAAAAACCATCTAACTTGACCCGGGAAACCCCTGAGTTGGTTACAACAGCGTCCACTTAGATGGAACCCGACAGGGCTAAGCCCTCCGCACCCCCCCAACCCACCCCTCCTGACCACCCCCCCCCCAAGATCGCCACCTTCTAGTATGTTTCAATGCTGTGTGTTTTTAAAGTGACTGAGTCATACCTGAATACAATCTTTTTTGTTATAGCTGAAGAGGTAACAGAGTCAACGAATTTGCATTTCTGGGCCCTCAACGCCGCTGCCGCCACAGTTACATGAATATCAATACGCCAACCCTTGCTTTGTTCTCTGCACTCAGCCCAGGACGTCTTCCCTGGGCCTCTGTATTTTTAGCCCCGGGGCGGCCTTCCATTGTGTGCATATACCCTGATGTTCGGTCATTAGCCCCTTCCCCCTAATGGACCTTAGGTTATTCCAGTTTTTCCTGTTATTACCGAGGGAGATGAAAGGAGCACCCTGGCCCACACCTGCTGGCCCAGAGCTCGGGCACGGAGTCACCGGGTCTGCTCAGCATCTAGACCGCATTTAAAAACTCTCCACGGTGGTTGAAGTTTTAATACCAGAGCTGTATATTACCTTAGTCTACACAAATGCGTGCGTACGTGGGTTAGATTCCCCGCCCCCCCCCCGGGAGTAAAAGGCAGACCAGGCAGAAGGCATTCCTTACTGTCTGTTACTATTAAGAAGAGACACTATTTTATCAGAGCCAAAACCTCCCGTCTGATTGGACGGCGATAACTTTGTGAGGGCCAAGCCTAAGGTATGGTAATTACAGGAAAAAATCCTGTTTGCTGGGGACACTGGGGTCAGGCCCCAGCCCGGGACATAAACCGTACCTGAGAGAGCCCAGGGTGGGGGCACTGTCTCCTATTTCCTGTGTCTGCCCGGCTGTGGAGGGTGGACGGCTGTCAGAGCCTGCTCAGGTGGGGGATGGAGACAGAGATGAGTGGGGATGAGTGGGGTGCTGCTCACCAATAGCTGGGTGCTCCCAGGGAGGCCGCTGGTGGGGGTGGGACACCTCTTGTGGGCTATGGAGTGTCGTCGGGGCTGAGGGAGTGGACCCTCCCCGAACTTTGGGGTGGCACATTGAGGCTGGGGGACTCTCTTTAAGGGGAGAGCTGCCCAGGGTACAGTTACACCCTTTTTTTTTTTTTTTAATTTATTTCTGATAGAGAGAGACAGCATGAGCAGGGGAGGGGCAGAGAGAGAGGGAGATCTAGAATCTGAAGACAGGCTCCAGGCTCCGAGCTGTCAGCACAGAGCCTGACACGGGGCTCGAACCCATAAACCACAAGATCATGCCCTGAGCCGAAGTCGGACGCTTAACTGACTGAGCCGCCCAGGTGCCCCAGTTACACCCTTTTTTTGAACACTTACCAGGCAGCAGGTTACACATTTGCATGTAAACGACAAGCAGGAGAGCTCTCCTGGGCACCCCGGTCCTGTAGATGACACAGACCCGGCTTGCACTCCCGTGGGGCTCCTGATCTAACAAGAAGATGGATTTAATATAAACATCACACAAATATGTAGTCACAAAGTGTGGCGTGGGGGTGGGTGCAGGGGACTGCTCACTTCCAGCAGGAAGAATAGCACTTGACCTACGATACACCTTTCATTGGACACATTCTGCCCTCTCAGACCTGTAAGCAGGTTAACCCGCCAAACCTCTCTGCACCTTCCCCCTTTCACCCACAGAGTAGAAATAAGAACCATAGCTTCACTGTACTGAGCTGTGCCCGTGTAATTTATCATCTACAGAAGAACACTTTTGAGAAACATAAAAAGCCGTTATTGATAATGAAGTCAGAAGGGTAGGCATGAACCACGTGTACTGCAGGCAAACGGGGTACCTGGCTCCCCATTCATGTGGACACACAGTGTGCACCCAGCCGAAGCCACTGGATACACGCCTTCATCCTCGGAGCAAGAAGTATTGTCCTGATTTTACAGACGCTGAAATGGAGCGTCACCCAGAGAATTCACCTGCCCATATTCTCCCTGGAAAGTGGGCGGAAGAGCCAAGATTTTTATGCAGCACCTTTGGACTCGCGGAGTCCAAGAAGGGAATTATTATACTCTACTGACATTAGGTAGAAATAACTCGCCTTTAGGGTTGTTTAATTGCTGAAAGGTAATCCAGCTGTCCGGCCTGTAGGAGGCGCTTCAAACAATGAGAACTATTATTAGCTTTAATAGTGAGAACCACAACCCCCGTAATCTTTTTGTTAAGCAATCCTGGGATGGGGCAGAAGTCACCACACCACTTTTCCAGGAAATACCTGCTCCCAGGAGATAAGATTATGCATCAGCTCTCGCTTCAAAACCCCACCTCCCTGGCCCACCATTCCAATGCTCTTATGTCAGAAACGCTGCCCCGGTCCCGCCTGGTCCTTGCTTTGCAAGACCCACTTGCAAATCCCCCAACCAGGGCCCTAAAACCCTATAAATACCATCCCTAATTTCCCTAATTTGAGACTCCGTGGAAGCGGTGTTGTCCTTTACTGCAGGAGGTCTAATGAACCCAGTTTTGCTTGATCAACAGGTTTTTCTGGTGGAATTGAAATCTAGGAAAGCATTTAGAAATGTTTTTTTTTGTTATTTCACTGAACATAAATCACTAGATGTGGCAGACATGATAATGCCCCCTCCCCAAAAGACATTCGCATCCAAATCCGTGGAACCTTGAATAAAGATACTTTGCAGATGTGAGTAAGTTAAGGGTTTTGAGATGGGGAGATCCCCGCGGATTATCCATCATGGTGTCATCACCAGGATTCTTACAGGAGGAGATCAGAGTCAGTATTAGACGGTGTGAAGGAGGCAGAGGCCAGTGACTTTAAAGTTGGAGGCAGGGACCCTGAGCCAAGGATGTAGGCAGCAGCTAGAAGCTAGAAAGGTCACGGAAAGGCATCTTCCTCTAAAGCTTCTAGAACGAGCCCTGCCAACTCATTTTATTTTATTTTATTTTTATTATTTTTTAAACTTTTTGTTTGTTTTTAAAATTTTTTTAATATTTATTTTTGAGAGAGACATAGAGACAGAGCATGAGCAAGGGAGGGGGAGGGGCAGAGAGAGGGAGACCCAGATTCTGAAGCAGGCTCCAGGCTCTGAGCTGTCAGCACACAGCCGGATGTGGGGCTCCAGCCCACAAGCCTTGAGATCATGACCTGAGCGGAAGTCGGATGCCTACCCAACTGACCCTCCCACCCCCCCGGCGCCCCCTCACCTGCCGCCTCAGAAATTCTATTTCATTCTATACGTCTTCATCTGTTTCCACCACTGCTTATTTTGAGGCTGAGCCTTCAGTGTCTCCCTCCTTTGTAGCATGAAAAGGCGTTCCAGGACCATCTCGCTCCCAGCCCTGGGACCATCCGGGTCTTCTTGATGGAGTCCTGGTTCCTCTTAGTGCAGAACAGAATTTAGAAACCAAGATCCGGTTGCTAGATGTGCCCATGACCGTCGCTGGGCTGAGGCCTTCTCAGGGTACAAAGGTAGGAAATGCGTGCGTGTGCGTGAACATTTACGTCTGTATTTATTTCTGCATCTGTACTGAAAGCCACGAGTTCGTATCAATTCTTTTACACTTCTTTTTAAAAAAATATGTATTTATTTATTTTTGAAAGAGAGAGAGGGGAAAGGGCAGAGAGAGAGGGAGAGAGAATCCTAAGCAGGCTCCATGAGGTCAGCAAAGAGCCCGAAGTAGGGCCCGAAACTGTGAGACCATGACCTGAGCCAAAATCAAGAGCCAGACGCTCAACTGACTGAGCCACCCAAGGGCCCCGGCCCTTTTCCAATTCTAGGTCTGTTCCCTAGGATTCTTTGTAGCAATTCCCTTCTTCCATATTTGAACCTCTTTTCCTTTTTTTTTTTTTTCTAGGAGAGAGAGAGAGAGACAGCGTGAGCAGGGGAGGGTCAGAGAGAGAGGGAGTCACAGACTGAAACAGGCTCCAGGCTCTGAGCTGGCAGTCAGCACAGAGCCCGACGCGGGGCTCGAACCCACGAACCGCGAGATCATGACCTAAGCAAAAGTTGGACGCTTAACCGACTGAGCTACCCAGGCGCCCCTGAACCTCTTTTCCTTAATCATAAGAAACGTGGGTCCCGTGATTCTCAGCGTATTTACTTATTTTCCCAGTCCCCTGTGTGCAGTGAACCTCCTGAACGACCGGACCCGGTCTCTCAAGCCCCTTCCTTAGGTGGACACCAACCCCGGCCAGGCTGCCTCCCCACCCTGTCCCACGACATCACAGGAGAGCTCTGTCCAACCTCGTGTGTTCTGTGTCTTTAGTCCCATTTGGTGTGATGACACTTGATGTAGGATATTTGAGTCCATGTTCATCAGTGATATTGGGCATGGTTTTTAGTTCTTACAGTGTCTTCTCTGGTATCGAATCCAGCGAATGAGATGGGCACTTTTTGTTCATTTTTTTATCCTCTGGAGCCATACAGGGATCATTTAGGTTTTGGTAGAACTTTCCTGGGGAATCATCGGGGTCCTGTGGAGTCTCCACTGGCTGGATGCTAAGCTCCGGGTACAGGTGGATACAGTAACGGATAAGGTGATAGACACAGTGATGAAATGGAGACAGGTCTACTGTAGTCCTCGTAGGTGACGTTGGAAGGTTCTATTTTCCCAGAAAACTGTCCGTTTCCTCTAAATTTTCACATGTGTTGGTATAAGTCTGTCTCACAGTGTTCTCTTATTTTTAAACCTCTATAGCATCTGTATTGCTCCTCTTTTCATGCCTAAAGTTTCTGTTTTCTTTTTAAAAATACATAGTATCATTGAGATTTTATCGATTTGTGTGCTTTTTAAAGACTGTTCATTTATTTTGAGAGAAAGAGAGAGTGTGTGTGTGTAAGATCTGGGGAGAGGGACACAGAGAGAGAGAGGGAGAGAATCTTATTTTTTTTTTAATGTTTATTTATTTTTGAAAGAGAGGGAGACAGAGTGTAAGCAGGGGAGGGGCAGAGAGAGAGGGAGACACAGAATCTGAAGCAGCTCCAGGCTCTGAGCTGTCAGCACAGAGCCCGACATAAGGCTTGAACTCACAGACTGTGAGATCATGACCTGGGCTGAAGTTGGACACTCAACCGACTGAGCCCCCCAGGCGCCCTGAGAGAGAGACTCTCAAGTAGGCTCCAGGCTCAGCACAGAGCCCAACGTGGGGCTTAGTCCCACAATGCTGGGGTCATGACCTGAGCCGACATCAAGAGTCAGGCACTTAACTAACTCAGCCACCCAGGTGCCCCTATCTATTTGTCTTTATTTTTGAAGAGTCAACTTTTGGTGTGTTGATATTGTGAATTGATTCTAATTAATTTTTATTATTTTTTCATTCTCTTCCTCCCATTGGTTTACTCTGAGGTTCTTCCTCTAATTTATTGACTAGACAGACACACCACCTCAGCTGCACCCACCAGGATAATGAGGTGGGTTTTCATTGTCATTCAGGTGTAATATTTTCTCATCAACATTGCGATTTCCTTCCTAACTCATGAATTATTTGGAGGTTTGTCTTCAACATTTCCAAACATACAGGAGGTTTGGCTTTTATATATATATATCCACACACACACATATATATGTACATATATATAGCGTTGCATATAAACATAATAAAATTTATTTTTTATTTATTTAAAAAATTTTTTTTAAAACATAATAAAATTTGAAGGCCAAGGACAAAGGGAACAATGTGTTCCTACCAAAGCTCAGGTGTACATTTCTGTTCTCATTTACACCAAGGAAAATGTTGTAAATGTGTGCAGCATGTGCATTTCAACTTGACCTCTAGTCTGTGGGGTGGCCAAAACTGAAGCCTCAATGTCTGGGCCGTATGGACACCTCAGCTGGCCCACAGCCATCCGCATGGTCTGAGGCGGGCATGAGGTATATACCACGGGGACCAGAAAGAAAGCGCAAATTCATCGTCCACTGAAAATCTTTCTCCCACGTCTCTCCGGTCTGCTCTCTGCGAAAGGATTCCTGTGGTTACTGCTCCCCAGGCGTAGTCAGAAATGCTTCCGAGGACACACGGAATCAATGGTAGAGACAAGCATGGACTTTCCTGTCTACAGGGTTGAGGATGATGTTAGGCGAGGCTGTGACACGGGGTAGCCCGGCAGCCGAACGCTTGGGGGATCAACGGTGGTTTGGGACCTACCTCTGTTGGGGGTTCCAGCCCAAAGAGCCTCAGGTGGCACCTGCCCCCTCGGCCCTCTTCCGCCCTGTCCCCAGAGTCCCCCAGGACTCCTAGGGTGGATTCAGGTTCCCCATTAAAGGATGGGGCCGCCATCACCCCTCAGGGAACTGGGGTATTTCCAGCAAGGGATGCCCCCATTCCTTTTCCCAGGGGTATCCTGTTGAGGGGGTAGGAAGCATTCACACTTCATCCCTTCTTAACTTTGGAGGCTTCCTTCGTGTGGTTCCTAAAGCAGGTAGGGGCTGGGTGAGAGGAGTGGAGGAAATGACTTTATTTGGG